TTTTTTTTTTTTTTTTTTTTTTTTTGTTTTCCTCTGTTCTTCCACTTCTGAGCCTTCCCCGAAGAAGCAGAACACTTCTCACGAGGCGCGAGGGCTTCTGAGTTGTCCCGCCGCCTTCTGAGAGGGCCTCCTCGCTCCCCCCCTTTGCTCGCCGCCGACGGACGGCCTGGGGCACACTTCTGGGCCCTCCCGGATCGGCGTTCGGCGCTCGCGCGTCGTGGCCTCCCGGCGCGCGGTTGGCGCGCCATCTTGGGCCATCCGCCGCAGCGGGTGCTGCTCGTCAGGAGGGGAAAACACACACACACAGACACCATTAATCGTCGATCCCCAGGAACATGTGGACAACTACGGGCAGTGGGGGGGAAGACGAAAAGCCAGAAAATATGGGAACATATGGGGAATCCGTTTATTTGTGTGTATTTATTTGTGTGTCCCAGGGCCCCTTCGGTTCGGGCAGCTGGGGTCACAGGCGTGCATCCCTTGGGGCAGGCCCGAGCTCGGTGGCGAGCGAGGGGGGGGAGTGAGGAGAAGAAGGCCGTCTCAGACGGCGGCGGGACCTCTCAGAAGCCCTCGCCCCTCTTGAGGCGTTTCCTGTGTCTTCTGGGAAGGCTCAGGGAATTTCTCAGAAGGCCAGGGGACGTCCGAGCCTTCTGAGAAGGCCCGCCCCTTCTCACTTCCCCCCCGGGCTCGCCGCCGACGAATCCATCCGTATCCATCGCCCGCCGAGGTCGCCGAAGGACGATCTCCCAGGCGGTCGTTATGGATAGATTCCCGCCTCGCATGAAGGCAAGGGGGGGCCGGACGTCTGGCAGCCCAAAGCAGCCTTACGGGTGAGCCTTTGAGGGAGTGGACCCGTGCATCCTTCGATTTTTGGGTATCTTTTGCACGTCTTTTGGCTTCGCCTGTCTGGGGCAACGTAGCATCCTGACGCGTCCCAGTGGCCTTGCATCCCTTTGCTACAACCTTACGGCTGATTTTGAGTGGTACGTCATTCACCCTGAGGTCGCGTCTTAGATGGGCGTTCCTTTCTCTCGAGCTGCGCTTCGATCCCCTGACAATTCTGTTTCTTGTATCTTCAGGTTGAACGCCACATTCATTTAGGCCGATCGGACATCGGAGCATGAACCTGGAAGAGTGCTTGTTTCTTCATGTTTGCCAGACGTGCAGGCAGCAGGGGAATGCCACATTGTAGGTTTACATGCACATACGCATTTCACGCCCGGGCGTGATGCTTCGGCAGCGCAGAGGCATAATGAGCTTTCACGGTCTCGTCTCCGATACTATTTGGATTTTCCGATTCCAGTGTGTTGTCTTCATTTTGTTTTGGATCGCGATGCCACAGTCAACTCTCAATGCATGGGCTCGTATCTGGAAAAAGTGTTGTAGTGTCAGGAGGGTAGGCGTCAACTTAACTTGCGCCAGTTGAGCGACGCCAGAAACACGGGTTCGTTTGGGCCAGCATTCGCGCGTAAGTTGCCACGTAATGTCGCGCGTAAGCGCCTTGGCTTCCAATGCAGCGTGCCGCGCTGGCTGCCCGCGTGAGCTGCGGCGTAAGGGCGCTATGCCATGTCGCGTAAGACCCGTTTGTGATCGTCGTTCAGTTGTCCTCATGCTTAGGAGGAAAAAGGTTGTCTCGCAACAGACAGACTGGAAGGCGAGCGAAAAAGCAAAGGGATCGTAAGCAAGAGTCTAAATGCAAGGTTCATTTGGAAGTGTTTGTTGCCTCTAGCAGTGGGGATCCTAAAGAACTTATTTTGCGACATGTTCAGGCCAGTTTCAGACTGACCCGCTGCACATGTTGTCGTGGACTGGCAGTGGTGCAGCACAGCTGTCCAAAGCGCCGCCTCCGGAGGCGATGATGCCCGGCATGGGGTTGGGCATGGTTGGGAAGGGCGCTGGCGCGAAGGCAGCCAAGCTAGCTGCTTCTATGCTTAATCCTTCATCATGCTTCCATCATCATGGCCTGCTGCTCGCGCTCTTTGGCCGTCTTGGGCGCGATGGTTCTACCAAGCCCTCTCGGACAGGCTTGGTCGAGTCACGGCTCTACCCCCGTGGGCCCCTATCCGCAGCCCCTTAGTGAGTGTGTGCTTGACGCGATGTTCCGCAGAGTTATCCCGAAGGCTTGGTTGAACCATGCCGAGGCCGTCTCGGCGGATCTTTGGGTGTCCTCAGGTTTTCTTTCGGCCCTCATGCGGAACTCTTGGGCTTTCCTGGGCACTTCTGTGGGTCCTCTGGAGCCGCCCGGGTTTCCCGAAACCATTGTAGGCAGATAAGAACGTGCGCCGCGCTTGTATGAAACAGCCTAGTGGTTTCCATTGTTTTTAGCATTCCAGGCTAAGACATGCATGGTTCTGCGATGCTGCAACCAGCCCCCAGAATACTCTTGCGCCGATTGAGGCCTGGTAGTCTTACCGAGCTCGCTCTGGAAGGCTTGGTAGACTAAATCTGATGGTAAGCGTATTGATCTCGGGGCTCTCTTTGGCACTTTGTTCGAAGGTTTTTGGCAGCCTTGTGTGTGGGGGGGCCTCTTGGGCTTCCTTGGGGGCTTCTTGTGGCTCCGTGGGGCCATCTGGGGGCCATCTGGAGCTTCCCCGAAGCAATGGGAAACCAAACGAACTGCGGAGCCGTGCTCCTGAAAGGAAACATGTCGTTTCAGTTGTGAACGTGCTTCCAGACCGTTGGACCACTGGGCTCAGTCGCATCTCCACAGTGGAAGATCCTTACCTCTGCCCGCGGGGCTTCAGCTTCCACTTCACGGATGCCTGTTCTGATGCTGCGACGGTTCGCTGGCGCTGTCAGAGTACTTCCTGCAGGACCGCGTCACCAGCTCTGTCTGCTCATACCCGTCAGACTCCCTGGACTGACTTTCCTGCCTGGAGATCGTTCCCTACCTTACTGTCGTCTTGTTACGATCACGGCGGGAACGCCCACGCGCCATTTTGGTTGCGCTGGCTCCCCTCGGTGGCTGTTCTCTCAGACTCCCTGGGTTTGCCGTTTGCACGTTTCCTCGGGCTGTCCTTGCAGACTCCCTGGGATTGCACGCCCGCTGGCCTCTCAGACGCCCTGGGTTGCCGCCGCTCGCCGCCTGATCCGCGGCTCCGCGCGCGCCCGCTAGTTAGTCGCGGCCGCAGCCCGACCGTGACCGCTCGCCGTCGGCGCCTCCGCCTGCGGCTGTAAAAAAATGGTGAACGTGCTTGGACATGCCGCGAGCCAGCTCTAGGGATCAACTTTTGCCTTCTCGGACGGCGGCTTGGAGGTCTGGGACGATGATCTCCGTCAGTCCATGGTGGGCCTCCGACCGATGGCTTGCCTAGCTCCAGGAAGGCCTCCGAATACTGCACGGCACGGCAGCAGGCACGGCAACATTTGCACGGCCGCCCAACCAGCGCTGGAGACCTCTGGAATGCTTGACTGCAGGCGACTTCCGTCGACGAGCGTTTCAGGCCCCCAATCCCCATCAACGTCCCCCCAACGTGACACCTCGGGATGGGCCTCGGGAGCTTGAAGGTCGACGGAGAGGGTCGGGATCTCGAAGGTTAAATCGGTGGTGCCAGGCTGCGGTGGCGCAGTGCCATCTGGACAGGTCTGAACGAGGGCCTGGCGGTGGTTCAAGCCTGGCTCAGGCACGGGCCCACCTTGCGGGTCAGAGCTTTCGCTGTTCGCCAACCTTTTACCGACGTGCCAGATGTGCCCATACCGTCGGCCGGGATTAGCAGGTCGACCCTGCCGAATCAAGGGTACCCTCGTGTTCTGCGTCGCGCGACCCGTGCTTCTGGCAACCTTGGCCCTCGGGAGAGTCTTGTGTCCTCTCCAATCAAGTCCGACTGCAGGAGCCCTCGGGGGCACCGCAGACGCGGCAGTGGGGCTCCACCTGGTACCCTGGAGCTTCGCGAGCGGCAGGGACAGGGACTTGGTCGTCCCGGACCGCCGATCGAGCTCACAAGTGCCGAGGGCGACGTACAGTTTTGATGCCCTTGCGTAGGGCCCCGTGCCAGACCGCCTCGTTCCCCACAGTCATGTGCATGTGCCCCAATAGCCTCTTGTGCTGCCAGCGCCGCGCCCCTTGGGATCAGGGCCAGTCTGACCTCATAGCGACTCGTGGTGACTGGGTCGACCTGGTGCCCGAGATCGGTGATGAAGCAACGCGCGCTGCCCATGCTCCAGCCAATGCGGTGTAGCGACAAACATGTGGCCGGCATGGGGCCGCGGGCAACTTCGCCGCGTAGGATTGCCTCCGCGGCTAGCTTTCAACGCCCGTCAGTCCTTCCTGGGCCCTCGCCATGGATGAGCGCGGGTGGCTTCGAACATCGGGGTGTCAACCTGGTATCGATCGGACGGGTGTACTTTTCTCGGCGGGGATTCTTGAGGAGCATCCTGGATCATCCTGCGAAAAAAAACACGCACGAAACCGGAAGCACAGCACAGGGAATGGACGTCCGAGCGATGGCCAGTCAAGCGGGTCCTTGTCGGCGGCCACGAGTGCGGTGATGCCCCCCGTGGGGCCTGTCTCCTGCGAGGGCGGCGGCGAACTGCCGCAGGTGGCGGAGCGACGCGTCGGACCTGCCGGAGACTGCGCTGCCGTGGGCCGCGGCGGGGAACGCGCCCGTCCTCCAGAGGGGGGGGCGCCTCTTCTGCCCGCTGCTGCCTTGGGCTTAGGTCGGGCCTGTCCCTCTACAGGGGGAATCTTCAAAAATAGGCAAACCATAGTTTGGGGACTTTTTAGAGTGTTTTGTGGGCATCTTTTCAATCTGCTGGGAGTATTATTTTCGTCCCAAGCCCCTCTCTAGGGGGACAGGCCCGACCCAACCTTGGGCGCCCAAAACTTACGCTGACGCCGCTTGGCTGCCTCGACGCGGGCCTTCCCCGAGGTCTGGCCGCGCGCGCTCCTCCCGGCTCGTGTCCGAGACATGCCGCATCCAGAGCATGGAGCCCAGCCCCGTCGTCCTCGCACTCCGCCTGAGTAGCTGCTCGGCGGCGTACAGTTTTTTGGTCTGCGGGTCGACAGCGAGCCTCTTCCGGTTAAGAGCTAGGCGGGCCGCGCAAAGCACTAATTGGGGAGACAGAGCGCAGGCGGGCGGGGCCTCAGGCGGCCGGAGGGCGCGGGGTGCAGGCGCTCGGCGGCGTACAGGCGGCCCGGATTAGCAGGTCGACCCTGCCAGCTCAAGGGTGCCCTCGTGTCCCGTGCCTCGCGACGCGTGCCGTCCTGCACTCCCGTGGCGATGTGGCCCTCGGCAGGGTCTTGTGTCCTCTCGCGCGCCCTGTCCAATCAAGGCCGACTGTAATTGGTGGCCGCGAGTCCTGATTTCTTGGGCCGGTTGTGTAGCCCGAGTCCCCATCGCATCATTGGTGAAAGTTTTGATTTCTCTTTCCGACTGCACAAACTGATTCCTATTGTTGGTGATCAGCTGCGAAGCCACGTCGCCCACCAGAGCGCGGGGTGTGACGAGCGGCGCAATCTCATTGACGCCTGAGCACCCGATGCGTGAGAACGAACAGCATGCCCGTCGCATGGCTGCAGCCCGCGAGCACGACTTGAACAGAGGAAGCCTCCTCGGACCAGCTCCCGAGTGCTCAGGGCCTACGCGGCTGCTTGTGCAGCTCCACGAGCATCCATGCTAGTCTCTGGGGGGACTGCAGCGCCTGAGCCTCCTTCATTCAGGAGCTGCTCGGGGTGTATCATCTCGAAACAGTTGACCATGTCGACCAGCACCGATATTGAGATATTTCCCAACAGGCTGGCCATCTCGGACTCCAAATTGTAAGGAACAAAGAAGCGCTGTCGCTCGAGCTACGGCGTCGAGCTGTGCCCCGGATCTCTGCGCTGCCATGCTGCGTCTGCCGCTCGGCCGTGAGCGGCTGTCTGATCTTGCCCCAGACTCGGTAGAAAGTGGTGATCAGCGCAATGAGGCGCGTGCATCCGTCAGGTTCGGCGAGGCGAACTAATTCCATCGTAACCCTTTCGCTTGGTCAGTCCAGGAGTGCTTCAACTTGTTGATGAGGTGAGCCACCGCCTGCAAGGCATCGTCGGAAACCCGCGGCAAAGCCCGCGGGGCTATCTCGAAGGGCCCTGCAGCGGTGCTAGCGTTGAATTCCACGAGGGCGTTCAGCACCTGCTCGGCATCAATGCTTGGGGGAGGGGGCCAGTGCTGGGCTCCGGGGGTCAGCGGGGGCCCTCTTGCAGCCGTGGATCCTCCAGATCTTGGCCCAGGGCATACAGCGCCGTTTTTAATACATGCTCCGCGTGCGGATCATGTACAACAAATGCAGGGATTCAGTGTTAAAAACAACGATGAGTTCATGCATAAACTTATTCTTGCATTAATCATATATTCGGATTCCAGTATTTTTAAACATCCTGTGTATTAAAAGCTGCCCTGAATGTCGGTGTCCACGAGGGTGCGAGGCTGCGCGTCCGCGCTCGAATGCAGGATCTCCCGAAGAGGACGGATCTCACTGAAGCGGTGGGCTTTGGAGGCGCGCCTCCGAGGGGGGGGGGCCTCTCAGAGGCCCGAGTGGTCCAGGTCTGGGTCGCTGCGGCCTCGGCTCTCTGGAGGCTGGCCTTGGCGATGGCGTAAACTTGCATCGTCTTGTTCCGCGAAGCCGGGCCGACCTGGCACCTGGAGGCCGCCGCGCAGAAAGCTCAGCGCTGTCGGGGTCCAGGCAGGCGAGGTCCTTGCCACGGCCGGCCACTCTTTCTCATGGACCGGCTGGACTCCTGAAGTGCGCGCAACAGTGTGTGGGTGTATTTGGCAGGGGAAATCAGGAGGGGAAAAATCACAGACACAATTAATCGTCGACTCCCAGGAAAATATGGGAAAATATGGGAAGTGGGGGGGAAGACAAAAACCCAGAACATTTGGAAAAATGTGGGTGATCTCGTGATTTGTGTGTGTGTGTGTTTATTTG